GAACTTGGCCTTGTTAAGCAGCTTTGCCGCCTTGAAGCAATCTCTCGTAACTGTTATTGTTCCATTAGAGGTTGAAGTTCCATTGTGACATGGAAAACATTCCTGGAGCCGAGATTTCAGAGCTATAAGATCCAGGTGTCAAGCGTTCTCAGACCGTGCAGCAAGCGCTCCGATACTGCCATAACGCTCGTGTCGTTGCCGATCAGTAGTTCGCCCGGAGAGTTGTAGAAGCTCCGCAAATCGCATGGAAAGGAAGTGTGACGACCGAACAGCAGGAGCATGGAAAAATTGGCAATGAGGTCTAAGAAGCTGAGGTACAGAGTCTACAGCAAAAGACAACCCTTGCGGCTAACTTACGTAACAATCCGTGCGCACTGTGGGAAGTGCATGGGCTCAATGCTATACCAGAGCAGGTAAACTGTAACATTCACTGAAGGGTCGCAACTCACCCTACTCCGGATCGTCATGAATGAGAACGTCCGGGAAATGGCAGGTAAACTGCCACATGCACTGAAGGGTCGCAACTCACCCTACTCCGGATCGTCATGAATGAGAACGTCCGGGAAATGGCAGGTAAACTGCCACATGCACTGAAGGGTCGCAACTCACCCTACTCCGGATCGTCATGAACGAGAACGTCCGGGAAATGGACAGTCTGGGGTCAAGTCTGACTCCGGAGTATGGTCTGGGTCCGAGTCTAGTGTGTCTAATATAGTAATATTTCGAACTTCTCGAAGGTTTGAAGCGTTGAACTCTGCAGTACACGCTACTAGTTGATGAAGTGGAATTATTCAACATGTGGGCAGTTTAATTACCTCCTCTGGGTATAGCATTGAGCCATGCACTTCCCACAGTGCGCACGGATTGTTACGTAAGTTAGCCGCAAGGGTTGTCTTTTGAGTCTGTAGACTCTGTACCTCAGCTTCTTAGACCTCATTACCAATTTTCCCAGACTCCAAACCATCGGCGGTGTGTAGAGTCTCGTGTTAGTACATTCCGAATACAATACATTTTTTAAACCCCGCACCTCAATTCAAACACCGCAACTTTTGGACTCTACACACCTAGCCGACTGGCACAACTTGTTGTGGCGTCAAGTTTGCCACTGTTTGAATTCCTTCCGAACGATGGATCAAGCCGTCAGGTACACCGGGAAGCTTATTAGTACAACGGCAGTGTGACAAGGTAATATTTATATTATATTTATATATATATTCATATTATATAATTATATTTCTAAATAACCAGTACAGCAGAATCATGCACAACATCGTGCAAAACATGAGGTGAGGAGTACAAAATGAATACAGTACCACTCCAGAGTCCACTGTGCACCCCCAGAATGAGCCTCGAACTTCGACTGACGAATGTCCTGCGGTGCCTGCAGCAAAACAACCTGTCGGCAGCGGGATTCGTCAGTGCAATATTGGACAGCAGATATACCGCTCACGCTGCCAGCCAAGACTCGCTGACAATGAACGCAGCTCACATTTGTGCGCAGTTATACGATAATGAGAACTCACATACATCGGTTTTTTCCTGGGCAGCAGGAACACTACGCAGAGAGAGCTGTGTAAGGAGGTGTGCCTGAGCTATCGCTCGAGCACCACTGGCCTCCACTTCCAAGGCCACCTCCGCGACTGTGGAGCAGCTGGAAACGACTTTATGAGTCAGCTCGCCGTAACGATGCAAGGAGTTGCTCCAAACGTTTGGAACCTTGTCTCAGCTTTACTCGACAGCAGAGAATACCGCCGTCGAAAAATGCCGCACCACTGCTGGCCACGTTCCAGCACCCGAAGATAGCCCTTCACAGAATGAGATGGACTTGGGCGAGTGGGTGGAGATGAGCCACATTTTGAAGACGATGATGAGCGGGGATGAAGAGGACGATGGGGAGTTGACAAACGACCAAGGAAACGGCAGCGTCGTGCGGGGGTGAAAGGAATGTACGCTACAACACATCGTGAGCGAGTTTCGATCTCCGGTACCTAAGTGCGGCCGCTAACTGTAACTAGAAAACAATAGTGATAATCAGCATATGCCTGCAAAATACGAACGAAAGATGCAACTGCTTACAGGGCTGGATGGGCTTTTTCATGAAGTCAACAGGCGTCCCTGAGAAGGTCATTGAGGTCATGGCACACGCAGGGCTATCCGTCAGCCTGTCCACCATATATAACATGGTGACATCTATTTCGAAGGAGATCAGCCGTGACATCAAAAGGGAAGTCCGCACGCCTCCGTGCAGGCATTCGCATACGACAATTTTGATATCGCCTTCAACGTTGCCCAGCCAACACTCGAAAAACCGCTCCTCCTTTGTCAGTGCAACATCCGCCACTGTGATTCACTATATGGTGTTGATGAAAGTAACGAGGAGGCGTTGCGGAGCTCGGCAAGTTGTGGGCCTCTGATCCAAAGAATCCGTCACCATCATTATTCCCGCTGATGAACGAAAGCAGAAGCTTTTAATGCTTCACAAAAAGGTACACCTACAATCGGCAAACGAATCCAACACAGCTGAGTGGACGAGAGGAGGCTTTTGCATGGCATATTCGCGCCATCCTTGTCCAACACAATCAAAACTTCAAGCACTTTGCAGACAACTTGATGAGCCTGAAACCATCCAGAGGATACCTATACACAAGACCAATCAGATTCCCTGCCGCTCGATGAATATCAAGCAGTCTACCACAGACGGAAACGTTGAAGATCTTGGAGAACTTGTTTCACGCAGGGAGGTATCGGGGACAAGAGCGAGGTCAACTGTCGATGCAGAACACGATGTTGACATGACAGAACATGTAATTCTGGTTCATGGAGACCTATTAACAAACAGGAGCGTGTCGACAGCTGTGCGGAACAGCCGAAAAATCGAGCACACACCGAAAAATCGTCTCCAGTACGTTGTATTCCTCCCAGGACTCTTTCACTACAAGATGGCGTGTGCGGATGCATTGTGGCGCACGTACATTCATTCCAAAGGAAGGGCGCGAGGATGAGAATAGCCTCTATCAGCACATTGGGATCCTTCGACCTGATGAAACAGGAAAGATGGTCAGTATAACCTGGATTTCGGCGTGTCCCGATGTTGTTCACCACGACATCTGGGCATCAATGCTTGACTGCTTGGCGTCTTGAAGCAGAGAGCCGAAATCTGAATGGTCGACATTGGAAAGATTCGCCACGTCAAAGCCAGTCTGGAAGATATAATCAATATGTCCCGTGTCATCGTGAAAAGTTCATTGCGACGACCCAAGATCTGGACGCAGCACGGGAACAGCCACCACTACAACGAGACAAGCGTTTTCGAAGAACCAGACCCTGCGTAATCGTGACGAGCTCTTGTACGTTGACCTTTGTCAAGCCATGAACACCGGAGATATCGGTCGTGTCGAAGCATCGTTTCTCCCTTGGATTCATATGTTCAAAGCTACTGGAAAGCATAAATATGCGTCACAGATGTCAAGGTTCCTGACGAACCTTCAATTCAATTATCCAGCGGCTTTGAGGTGAGGAATTCTGTCTTGCTGAGAATAGAGGTCATCAATATATTTGACACAGTAATATAGTGCGGATGAACTTACTATGCAACCCAACCGGCAAGCCATTTGCTTTTCGTGCAGTTGACTGGGTTGTCGAGCGCAACAATTTGTATACAAAGGTTAGCGAACGTAACGGTCGATGTCAAGAAACCAAAAGTAATGATTGACAGGTCATATTCGTGGCGGCGGTCCAAACGGCACACTGGATCACATCATCAAAGAATCGCCTCTCATTGGAAGTATACCGAAACTGCCACGTGTAACGATGGAAAACGCATTCCAATCTTCAGCACCGCACAATCCGACACGCTGCACCTGACATGACGAAGACAATTCAGAAATTGGCAGCGCGAATCAAACAAAAAAACCCACATACCAAGAAGGAAGGCCTGAAGTGCGCTACATTCGATCCCAGATCAAATCGCTGTGGGTATGGCACTGATACAAGAGCAAAGGTAGTCAGCGAAGAAGATGCAGGGACGTTGAACTAGATGCAGATGATTTTATTGACTGACCTTACAGTACTAGGTCCTGGCCGCTGGCTCGTTCTCTGCGTTCGAGTTCTTTGTGGCGAGATGATTTGGTTTCGGGATGTACTTCGGACGAGTCTATTAGAAGCTATTGGGTGTGTTGATTAAGGTTGGCAAGTATGTCAGAGCACGTACCTATGTGAAGATTACTCCCCACATGCTCTGCATTTCCGCGCTGCTCGCTGCTTAGCGCTGCTACCAGCTATATCAAGTGGTGGAACGTTGTGGGTTGTGGCGTGAGAGGCTGGCATTGGTATAGGCGGGGGTGAGGCTGGTTTATGCGTTATCCGAGGATCCAGGACTGCCATATGGCGCAGGAGTGGTGGATGCAACTACGGTGGTGGTGGTGGTGGTGGTGGTGGTGAGGAGGAGGAGGAGGAAAGAATGACTTGATAAGCTCGATGATTTGTTGGCCATATTCTAGGGAATAGCACCAGCCGGTTTGCTCTAGCAATGATGCGGGGGAGGTTAGCTTTGCGTAGTGAGCAAGGTCAATAATGCGGTTGAGAGTTTTGTTTGACATAATAAGCTGCGGGCCGAAAAAAATGTCCCCATCGAGATCTTCTTCAACCATCTTAAAATCTCTCCATTGAAGTAGCGCAGCTCGTAGATCGCGTTCTCTGTTGGTCATTTCGTATGGTTTGCACTTGTATTTAGGTTTTGCACGAGTTGACAGAAAGGTTTGTAGCGGAAGGATGTGTGATGTGATTAGCGCGGGAGTACATATGTCACAGCAGTCACCAGACGGTGCCTCACTGCATCGTTCACAGCATACTGCTTGGTCTGGATTTAGAGCTGTGAGTCAATTTAATTTGTGTTTAAAAAACTGCTTACTTTTTGGATTATTGAAGTATTCGTTAGCCACCCGACGTCGACAGAATCCACGATGCCTCGCGTTGATAAAGGCGTACATTGCGAAGCGCTCAGGCAGTGTTATCAAGATTATCGGGGATGAGCTGCACGTGAGCTGATGGGATTACGGTCGTTTCTGATGGACGAGACGATGACGGCAACGAGCCCGAGCCAACGGCGTGTAAATCCTCCTGTAAGCCCTCTCTCCCATGACCATCATGATCTCTGAAGCCATCATCACCTCCCTCAAACTCACTGTCAACATCTTCCTCTCTACTATCATTCTCGACGCCTGCTCGTGAGTTTGATCCCTTTTTCTTTTTATTTTGCCGACTATCTTCCTCAACCGCGGGCCTCTTGCGCTTCCCTTTGTAGGTATCAAAGTATATTGGCTCAACAAGATAAATTCCCACCGCCGTTAGCGAGGGATCTCTGGCGCCACGACCAAGCCTTTGCATGAGAGCGCACAGTGAGGAAGTGTAACCCCATTGTACAATGATTTTAATATCACGCAGGTCGAGTCCCTTTTTTTCAAGTTGAGTACATTAGTGCGCGCATTAAGACTAATGTGATAGTCACTGACCATTCCCGCTGCGTCGGTGCAGCAAATTCCCCACAGTTCACCTGCTTGAAGCTGGTTCATCACATCGACGCGGAATTCCATCGACATCCCAGAATGAAACCAGACGATCTTTCCCTGCCGATGTCCAGGCACATCTGACCGCAAGCGGTTGCAAGTCATCTCTGCCGAAATCCGAGAATTCGTGAAGATCATGAACTTTGGCGGTGGATTCACGTCTCCGAGCCTCATATCCAAGACTCGGGTTAGATCATGCATGGTATTACGCGGGAACTTCATCTCTTCAACAATAATGCTGATGTTCGGACGGTTGTTAGACCTGGTGACCCTCGCAACATTATGTGAGCGGATGCGGAGCGTTGAAGTGACATCGGCCAAAATGTGAGGTGGCATGGTTGCCGATACGACATGAACTGATACATGGTCCGGCAAATACCATCTAATGTTCCCCAGCTGACTGTATAGCGGCCTGAAGTCCGCGCCCCATTCACTTATGCAGTGCCCTTCGTCGAACGTTATATTGAATATCTTCTCAGTGAACTTCTTCGACTTCCATAACGCCTGAAAACGTGAGTCGCTGAGTAACCGTTCTGGGCTGACCGTAATGACGCGATATTTAAGCTTCTCAATGTCCTGCGCAACATTAATGATGAAGAGATTATCAGAATTTTGTTACATACCTTGAATGCCTGATCCGAGGCAGTCTCTTTACACAGATTGATGGCGGGGAAACCCAATGCCTCTGCCTCCTTTTGATTCTTTTCTCCTAATATATTCAGCGGCGTCACGATAATGATAATCCCACCTGCGTTAAATAGGAGAGGAATCCAAAATGTCAATGTTTTTCCGGAGCCGGTTGGGGAGATCGTGATAACATCCTTGCTGTTGAGCTGATATTGAGCTGCCTGAAGCTGCCAGGTGCAGGGAGACAAGCCAAACTTCTCTTGGACAGTTTGCTTCATGTTCGCGAAGCTTGGGACATCGAAACGACGAGGAGACATTCTGAGTATGGTAAATGTTAACACTTAACAGAAATGAATCCAAAATGGGATTGCATCAGTCACGTCACGCAAATTGACCTCCAGGGTGCCGTCTGTCCGGTGTACCTGACGGCTTGATCCATCGTTCGGAAGGAATTCAAACAGTGGCAAACTTGACGCCACAACAAGTTGTGCCAGTCGGCTAGGTGTGTAGAGTCCAAAAGTTGCGGTGTTTGAATTGAGGTGCGGGGTTTAAAAAATGTATTGTATTCGGAATGTACTAACACGAGACTCTACACACCGCCGATGGTTTGGAGTCTGCATTTTTGTCAGCTTGCCGTCACGACTCTGGTCACCTGCAGGGAGGACATAGCAGCCGTAGACCGGGAGCTGCGGGCAATGGCATTATGTGGTAAAGATCCTGATGGCGGGTAGGCAGGATATAGTGACATCGTGCGGTGGCCTTGACAGACTTCCCGACAATTTCTGAATCTGAGAAACTCACTGGCCAGGGCAGGACACCCGTTTGCATAGATCTCACACAGACCGGCCAAAATTCGCACTTTCTGGCTTCCCTGGACTAAACATTCAAGTTTTCCTCAGCGCCACTTTACCTAAGACTATCATATGTTGAAGACTCAGTGCGCGTTTATTTTTCTCATTGTATGGTACACGGCGCAAGGGCTACTTCAAGGATCCAGAACTGCGCGGAAGCGCTAGATGGGATCGTTCTCAAGGCCACGAGATCAACTAGGAATATATGGGCGAGACCATGGGACAAGAAGGGTTTCCTGCGAGGGATCAAATATTTGATTGTCCGACATCAATGCATCACCCAAGATACACAGCAACGTTGTCCATTAACAGTAATATGACATGCATGTAGCACAGGGATCTAAACGGGGGTAACGATGTGGTACCTATAGGAGAACAAAGAATATTAGAGAACTGCGACTGAGTCATGAATTTGACTTCTTTTCTTTGTGTGGAACATGGCGCGAGCGTCGTACTCCGCTCTACAATCCCAAAATCAAAATTCTTAGAAGAACTTCTGTTGATCATTACCGAGAGCAAGATGTATGTGCACGTAGATAGTGGAGTTCCTTTCAGCATGCAAAAACATGACCTCCCTGGCGCGCGGCAGCCCATCTGAATTGACAGTACTAGAGTATTACATTATGCATATGGATCTCTAATATTAATGACTGGACTTGACTGAAATCGATTTCAAGAACTCAGAGAAATAAGTCAGGGTCACGTGCGTGAGTTGATGGGAACGCGTCGTCGGAGTCACGAATTAACCTGCAAGTCCACAACCGCCACATCTACATCAGATTAATGATCGATGGTCCATCACATTTGCGCACATTCGTCGACCGGATATAAGGCAAGCAGAAAGCAACGTTTTTCCTTGTCCTCTTACTTTTCTCTCCCTCAACTAGCTCTGCTCACAACACTCAGTCAGCGCAATCATTGAACACCTACGCATGT